CCCACCGGACAGTCCACCCATCAAATCCATAGTTCTCCAGCTTAGAGAGAAGGATGTTGTGGGGAACGTGTCAAAGGCCTTACAGAGGTCCAGAGAGACGACATCTGTAGCCCTTCCCGTGTCCACTGATGTAGTCACTCCATCACAGAAGGCCACTAGGTTAGTCAGGCAGGACTTGCCCTTGGTGAAGCCATGCCGGCTGTCTCGAATCACCTCCCTGTCCTTCGTGTGCCTTAGCATAGCTTCCAGGAGGATCTGTTCCATGATCTTCCCAGGCACAGAGGTGAGACTGCCTGGCCTGTAGTTCCCCGGGTCTTCCTTTTTCCCCTTTTTAAAAATGGGGGTTATGTTTCCCCAACCAGTTTTATGTTTCAAAACTGGTGCTAAAGAAAGCATAATGATATTAAGAAAAATGAGGCTGTATTAAGCTCATTCAGACCCCATTCAAAGAGGCAAGTTGGTATTCAATGAAGACACAGAACACTTACAGTAATTTATCTGAGACCTCACAGATACCCTGCAATTGCAGCTGGCTGGCTCAGTGCCAGAACAATGATACCGAAAGATTGGTCAGATGTCATGGGGCACAGAGGCCTTGCATCAGTCCAGATAGAATGGTGAAGGGGAGTAGGAACAATGTTTTCTGGACTGTGACCTTAGGTGACCAATCTGTAAGAAGAGGCTTGGGTTTGAAAACTTGGGTTGATGCCAAATACCAAGTGGCACATGCTGAACTAATAATTTGTGACTTACAAAAGTTATATAACCCAGGATTTAAAAAGGAACCCCTTTTAGGGGTTCCTAGCAGATCTGGAACATTATCAATCTGGAGCCTGAAAGTCTGGAATAAAGTACAATGGCTAGTCACACAACCCTTTTAAAGACAAAATAAGAATCTTGCAACTATTCCAGCAGATGATAGCAAGCCATCACAAGTTGCACAAAGTGGAGTAATGACACAGCTAGTAACCACTGAGGAGGAAAGCACGACTGATAAAAAGGCCAAAAAAAGTTCCTGAGGACGGTACTGAAAAATGTGGAACAACTAAATTGTATGAGAAATTTTCAACACCCAACCACTCTGTCTCAATAAGCAAAAAAACAAGAAAAAGGAAACAGTATTATGAAGATCCTGGTTTATGTAGTCTCATTCTGAGCACAAGAGAGGACAGTGAGTGAACAGACTTCCCCCAGAAGATCTGTAAAAGGAAAAAGTTGTCCAGCCTCAAGTAATAGAACAGGTGCAATTTCACAAGTGTATGCACAGGCAGACTGTCACTTAGAGACAATTCAGTGGGCATGTCTTGAGGCTTAAGTGCTGGCCTGTTTAAACTCTGAATGACCCTGTCATTTAGAACATTTGCTACGTGGATGCTCAGAACCTTAATCTTGAAGCTCAGTGTAGTGTTAATGTGCCTGTGAAAACAGGCCTGAAAGAGGGCAGGATTCAGATACATTCAAATTACTTTTTAGAGTGAAAATAAATGTGTATACTCCTTACATGTAATAAGGTGGCAAGAGGAAGAAGGAAAGAGAACTACAGGAAACCAATTACTGCCTGGATCACTTTAAATAAAACGTCCTTTTCTACCTTCAGTTGTAGTTGCATTCACATTCATCCATGGTGAACTTTACAGAAGGGCTGGCAGAACAAAGCCTGTTTTTCCCTAGGGCTAGTACTAAAATCATAATAACTAGGAATATACCTATTTTTGAAACAGCCTGTTTATTGATACAAGAACTGCGTCTGTGGTTGGTACAATCTGCTTACAAACAGCAAGAGACAATTGTCTGATAAAACTATGAGAATACAATTCTGAAAACCTTTTAGTCAGATCTCGAGTAATAGGTAATACCAATAGCCCTACAAAGTAATTTGTCTTTCATTCTAATTAATGTTCTAGTAATACTCAGTGAAGATAATTATATAATTCCTAACATAGCTATGTCTCAGGTCAGCTCATTACTACACTCTGGTCAACTGAGGATCCCCACGCAGAAGTTGATGAACTTGTCAGAATCAAGGGGAAGAGACTCTGTGGCGTAGTACACTCACGAGAGCCTAATGCATTAGAACTAGAGATTTCAGGTTTTGATTTCTACTGTCAATAACTTGTTCAAAAGCATAGCACAAACAGTATTTCCAGAACAAGCAATGCCTTAAGATGAATATCCATCTGCTTGATAAGACATACGACAAACTGCTGAATAACAGTTTTTCTGAATTAATGGAAATTGCTTACCTCATCATAATAAGCTCTCAAATCAGCTCTTTTAGATCGTAAGTCCCAGAGTACGACAGTCCCATTTTCATAGCCTATCAATAGCTGGAGGAGGGGAACAAACACAATTATAGTTTCAGATTCAAAAGGTATATACAAATATTGAAGAACTTCATGGTTTTAAGAGATTTTTAAAAAATAAATAAGCACTATAAGAAATGACAAACTGCTGTGCAAGATTGTAGTTTGCACTACACATAATACCCTGCTTTCAGATTATCTTTCAGTATAAATTACTTCTCATTACTGACAATTTAAGATCTGATATGGAAGAAAAAATGTGCTTTATACACTTTTTTCTCTTTGTTTTTTTTCTGCAAGATTATGTGCCTGGACAGTCTCCAAAATTGTATATCTGCTGAGAAAATAAGACCATAGCATGTTCCTGTCAGCTCTTACCTTCCTTGCCCCTGGTTGGAGGGAAAACTGTTTGACACCTAAGAGATCACTTAAATAACTTCAAACCAAAGAGTCACCAGATTAAACTCTCATCCAGCTACCTGTATTCCTTTAATTTCTGCTTTCTATCGCTTTAAAATATTTTGAAGAACTCCCCCTGCAGAGAATAAATTGCTTGCTTTCCTAGAAATTAAAAATAAATTAACTGGTATGCCAATTTTTACTTCTTCTAGAACTGGTATGTCATATCATCACGCACACCTGAGAAATACCAGCAAAAAGATTTGTCAAAAGACGAAAGAGAAGAAAAACGATGCTCAGGAGAAAAATAAGAATGAACACAATCCTTTCTCCTTGTCTCTATTGAAAAGAACTGAATTATTGATCTGGCACTGTATTGAGTACTCTTCATCTGAACACAATTAATTTCAGATCTTATGGCAGATGTGAAGTCTAGCCCGCTTAGGCGTCCTGGAAATTGCTTCCCATAGAGTCTGTCTTCCTAAGAATCTATCCTGGACATGAAGACTGGGAATGACCAAACTGCCAGACTCACACATTTCTGCTAGAGAGTATTTTATACAACTGGCAGTGATAACTGCATTTGTTCTTTGTCCATAAACACATGGATCACAGAATGCAGGCAAGAATTTACAGTTTCTATATTAAGAATTTAAGCAGAAGAATGACAAGACTATCTCTTAGTTTGTGAAACCTTACCAGCATCTTTGCTATCACTCACTTTAGCTCGCGTAAGTCATAAAAATGAAAACCGGGCTGGACTGCTAAACAAAACACCACTTTGTTTCCAAGTTAAATATAATTGATACATCAATACTGCTATAAAGGAGTCTGGGAATACTTTCAGTCCTACTAGATATGATTCTTTATATTGCCAGGAGAATATTCATTATGTGGAGACGTATTACTTAATCTGGGAATGATTTATAGTTAATATATTTAATACCTGAATATGAACAATACCTGATTACTTAAGAATTCTGCTTCTGAAAAAAATTCAAACTGTCCTGGAGAAATTCCAGAATATTTATCATTTTTGCGCTGGATAGGTCCATCTGGGATTCTGTGGCAGAGTAAATGTGAAAAGACATCCTGTTCAGAAAGCATGCAGCTAACTGGATAGCACTTGTGTCAGGATGCCATATGGTATTCCGGGATAATAGATTGCCATTGAGAGAGTGAACAAAGAAGTGTCTTACTGCGACTGCTTTTGCTGTTAGTGTAGTTATCCTAAATGGAAGACAATTGTATATCCAGGAGTTAGTGATCCACATAGTAGTTAACCTGAGTAGGTGCAGGCCTGTGCTGTGCTATGTTGTGCTGCACATAGCACTTGGCTTTCAAGCCTGTGTTGTGCTGCACATATTCCTCAGCCACAAGATAAACTTAGCTGGCTAACTGTAAAGAAGCCTGTAGGCAGCTCCCACTTGGTAAGGGCAATTACAGCACCTTTGTGTCCTTGCCTTTATCTTAATGTAAGGCAGTATGTTCTCATGTGAATATCCTTTTGCTTGACAGTAGAAATGAATAGATTTAAAAAAAAAATCAAAATCTTTTGAGATCTCTAAAGACAGAAATGCTGGCAAACCTCTTCACAGAGGGGACCAGCATGGTGTGCTGTGCCCTTATTGGAGGTCCATCCAATGCTGCACAACTTGGGGCTCCCACCATCTGAAGAAACGTAAGATTATCTTCTTTCTCCTTTTCGTACTAACTCCAATAAATTCTATTTTAATCAATATGTTATGGAGTCTGCCTGCCTTCCTTACTGTCATCATGACAAGCACTTGCACCAGTGCGTTACAGCTGGGTACCAAACCAGTTGAGTTCAGTTTGTATCTACCAGTATTCTTTTCACCTCAGCTTTTGTACAAATATATTCAGGAAACTGAAGGAATAGAAAAGCATTTAGTTATGTGACCCTGTTTCATAATAAGCCTTTCTCCCTGGTGAAGCGGGTTTGTCTTTTGATTTTTATCACTCTTTTTTGCAAAGATATCACGCTCCAAGTAATTACTAAAAGGTTAAATACCTCCTATTAGAGACAGCATTTCACCTGATCTATTGCTGAAATGCCTAATGCACAACAACACTACAGAATTGCAAGGTACGAAGTGCCTTCTTTCAGGGAAGAAGTTGAAAGAGAAGCAGATTTACTGCATATCCAGGAATCTCTCTCTCTCTTTGCTCAGATGGTAGCCATGATGCTAAACTACTAGTACTGTGGTATGACACTAAAGTCAGAATTCCAACTGGGTGAATGTGATTAGTCTCATTGCCCATATGTTTATGATGCTCTGAACTCTGACCTGTCTGAACCATAGGAAACTCAAATATTCGCACTCCTCTTGGCCATATTAAGCACTTGAGAGATCTATAGGACAAGCTCTATGTCTGTAATATTCAATGAGGTAAAAAATAGAACATCCATAAATGCAGTTGAAGGAGAAAACATAGACAAAGAAGAAAAACATGTAAAAAGAGTTGAGGAAGTAAAAACCCAAAGATTTCTCTTCAACTTGTGTTTCCTGGCACCTTGTTTAATTACTCATGCTTAATTAGGTTAAGTATCATGCAGAAGGCTGGACAGAATTTGAAGGAGGGAGGAGTCCTGGCAAGATCTTCCTTGTCTAGTGGAGCTGCTGCACATTTTCACTTAACAAATCCTTCTTCATGAAATGCTTTTGATGATGGTGTTTTAGGGAGATTTCTCCTTTACAATCAACTAATTGCATCCTGGTACATGCCAGCCAGCCCCTTACTTGTCCTGGTAGAACAAAACAGCTGAGAGAAAAAAACCAAGCCTGCCAAATGCACACTGTATTTAGGTGTTATTAGATCTCAGAACACAGACTCAGAGATAGGAAGTTTAGTCCACCAGCTAATAGTTAATAACATTAAACCTTTTCCTATTAAGCTTTCTCCAGTTGCTGGGAAACTGCACATCATTGCAGTTAATGTCTTCTCCTGTGTCAGCAAGAAAAATCATGTTTGCTACAGATCTGCCACTTACAAATGTCTGTGCACTTCAATCTGTTCCTAATGTACACTTATTCTTTGATTTGGCAGACACAGTTATATTTCATGGACTTAATCACTAGGTCCCCAAATTGTTCTTAAGTGACACATTAAATGCCCAAATTCGCTTTGTCATTTGTCTTCCAGCCACAGCTTGCTAGATTCATGAAAGAGACTGTCTCCAAAGTCTGTCTTGATTGTTTGTCTGGAGGGCACTCTGGAAAAATTTTGAATGTCAGAAGTCTTCTGGAATTACATTCACTCTTTTGGCACAGAAAGACTGGTCATCAGTCATTGACACAAACTGGAACTTTTAGGAATTTAAAGAATTTTAAAAAGATGAATATACAGTCAGCGCACAAATTTCCCTGGCTTTCAAAAAGAGATCTTATGATTGTCCTAGATTTGGAAAGTTTTATCTGTGTTTTAGGAATCTCAACCACTCTGTGCCCATAAGAGAACACTACTTATTTACTTCAGTGAAACATGCCCAGATCTGTAAACAACTTTGTGATATCCCAGAGAAGGATATACCGCTGGACCCTTGCAGAGTACAATACCCTTGTACTTATAGGGTACAAGAATATCTGTATTTTGAGCAACAATTGTGACTGATTTGTACCCACTATTTAATTCCTGAAGCATAGTTAAAGAACACCTTCATCTGCTGCCCCCCATGAAGTGATGTGAGGAGTCTGATTTCTCCCACCAACACCTCTTGGTGGTCTTTGGTTAACTTGAAGCCAAGGAGCTAAGCAGAGTATGTAGAACTATCTTGAAACAGCTCTAGTACCTAAGAACAGCTCTACTAAATTAAACAAAAGGTCTACCTATCACAGTATCTTGGACTTAAATGGCCAAGAGCAAATACCAAAGAACCATACGTGAGGAGGGCAAGTACTTATACTCTCACATATCGTCTCAGCCTAAGTAATTTTCTCATTCAAAGACAGCCAACTTCTCAACTAGACATGACTCCGTTTAACCTCATCTTTAATAACCTTTTAGGAAAATTCAGCAAACCTCTTCAGTAACCCTCAAATTGATTTCTCTTGTGTTAACTTTTCTAGTCTCCCTTGTGACCACTATACATTTTCAGCAGCCACAGCACCATTTGGAAAAAAACTTATAGCTTCTACCCATTGCACATTTGAAGAAGTACTTAACTGGCTTGTTTGGAATCTGACTTTTGTCAGCTTCATTTGATATCCTTTTAGTTTTTGTATTGAAAGAGACTATGAACTGTTTCTACCCTCTTCAGAACAATTGTGATTTTCAAACTGGGAATCACAATCAGCTCTTTGCCACAATGAATTGTCCTGTCTGACTTAGTTGTGTCTCATATAGAAAACCTCACCCCTTCTCTGAATTTTAGCACAATTATGTTCTTTCTGAGATAGAAGGACAAAAATTATACTCAGAATTCAGCAGGCAAGTCAACCATGCATTTATGCAATAGCCCTACTTTGTTCTCTATTCTTCTCCAGAAAATGCCTAATTTTGATTGGTCATTACTGAGCATTGAGCTGACATTTTCATTGAACTATCAATCATCACTCTAAGCTCTTGATACCAAACAGTAATGATCAGCTCAGACCCATTGTTTTAAATGTAAAGTCAGAAATATTTTCCCCCACACATATCACTTCCCATCATTTACACTGAATACTTACAAAAGAGATTATTTAACCTGCCATTTTACTGTTGAGTTTCTCAGCCTCCTAAAGTCCAGCAAACCTGATCACATCACTGCTTACTCTCTTTTCTATGTTGTTTATGACTATGCTGAACAGCAAAAGTCCCAGAAGTTTGGGATTTCTTTCAATTTTTCCCCATTCTGAAGAAAGATTGCTTTTTCCTTCATTCTTTCAACCAAAATTTAATGAGACTTAGTTGAAAAATTTAGTTTAATTTTTTTCTCTACTCTTGGATTTTTTGATCTGGAGCTATGACTTTTGATTTAGTGCTTGGATCTTCTCTTACATCTGTGCGTACCTTTTACTGACATCTTCCTGTAAACATCAAACACTGTCAATTCCACATTCTGCAAATCTGCAAGTATTTTGTTAGCACCAATTTGTTCTTTACGTCACTCTCAATCTATCAATGATATAAACAGCGGCACTGGGATGGTTTCAGTATGGCTTACATTTTCTACTCTTACATTTTCTACTCTTTCTCCCCATAAATTTCCAATGTTTGTTTTCATAGGGATCCATCTGCTTTTGCTGTTGCTGTTAGTGTGCTAGCTCTTCATCAGTGCCCAGATGTCCCCAGTGTGCCCTCTGAGCAACAAGCAATTGTATTTCCAAGCAAGTTCTCCTCTAACTCCCTTTCCCAAGACCTTTTCATCTTCTCTCTTTCTGCTGAAGTAAAAATATTTTAGGTTTCTGTTTGGATATGGTCCATGACATTCCTGTAAGAGATGTTAACTCACAAGACCATTTTTTCTTTTAGTATCATATCCTTTTC